TTTTTTATTACCTATTTTTATTAACTATAACTTTTTTGACAGATATGGTGGATGCGCCGGGAAAAAATAAAACTCAATTTTTTGTTGTTTTTTTGAAAATTTATTATTTAATTTAGCAAAAAATACAAGAAAACTGAGTTTCGCTTTAAAAACTTGAAAACAAAGAATGTCTCAAAATATTGTTAGATTCGTTTAACACTGTTATTTTTGGTGGATGCGCCGGGATAAAACAAAAGTAATTTTTTTTAATTTTTTGAAAATTTATAATTTAATTTTTTATTTATATATACATAAATACAGGGCGATTCAGATAAGATAATGAGCCTGACGATCTGGCGATGCAACCCAAAAAACAAATTTCATTTACGCCTTTGATCTAATTTCAATTAGGATTTGCAAGTTCAATCCAAGTTATCATCATCTTGTGTCACTGTGACATCAGTGCAGAAAACGTTTATTAGTGCCATTCATGGAGAAATTAGAGAAGTCTTTTCGGTGTAAACCCAATACAAAATGTATGAAACATTGAAACATTAAAGGTAGACAAACAGTTTTTTTTTTAAATCATAAATTGCTTGTCAAAGCACTATCAGAGTAACATAAGATAACTTGGATTGCAAATGCAAATCGCAATTGAAATTAGATCAAAACGTAAATGAAATTTGTTTTTTGGGTTGCATCGCCAGATAGTCAGGCTCATTATCTTATCTGAATCGCCCTGTATAATTTAAAGGTAATACAATTTAAACAAAAACTACAAAAAAAACAATTTTTTATGAACTTGAAACAAATTGTCTAATCGCCAGAGAACTGTGGTCGTCAGCAACAAACAACACAATTTGGAACAGTTTTAGCACAAAAACACTTCGAAATCTTAAAAGAAAAACAAAGCCAGTTTGATAATGTAGTTTAATGCTTCTGTTTATAAAACTGAACTTAAATCGGACAGCAAAACGTAAGGAATTTACTGAAATGTGACAATCTAAAAGAAATGATTAAGCAACAAAAAATTATAAAAGGATTGAAAGTATTTTTTTACAATTGAGCAAGCAATTTACCTGCCTTCAACCCTTTTACTTTAACCTAATTCCTTTTCGAAAAAATGAATTAAATTTATCGTTTAAAAAAATAAAGTACTGTTTTGTATTAGTTATTTATTCGACGAGTTTGAGTGGAAATCGGACTCTTTATTTGACCGAGTGGATTTTTAAACCACGAGTGTAACGAGTTGTTTACCATCCACGAGGTGGAATAAAG